TTCATGACATAGTGAAGGTTAGAGGAAAAAGTGACGGGAATGGTGAATTGTTGGCTTGCTTTGCCTCTGTGGAATGTAAACCTCCTCAACAACTTAAAAAATTAAATTAACCTAACATAATGTCATGGTTTATAGTTTTCTCATCCATAGATCCGAGTTTGACAATATAGCCACCCAGCTTTAACATTTCTTCTGTTTTCTATGCTTCTGGTCCTATCAATGCTGTTGACTGACTGTCTCTCTGCTGGACTGCTTGATTTGCTTTATGCTGAATTCATTGTTGATGCCACTGCTGTGACTGGAGATGCGGCAGGTCATGGCCTCTGCTTCTCTGGGGCCTAGTCTGCAGCTGCCCCTCAGAAAGCCTGTTTGGCCTTTCTGGACCATGCCCACAACTAACAGCAGCATTGTTTACAGGAGGAGCTGCTACCTGCTTTCATGCCAGTCCCCAAGCCCACACCAAGCAGTTGAGATAGAACTGATCATTTGTATTGCTTTGAATACTGTGCTGCCTTTTCCTTCAGCATGATGTTAGAATTGTAAAGTAAATCTGGATTTAGGCACTGCAAGCTCCAAGGGTGTTTGAATGTCAGCGCTTTGTACTTCCTGCTGGGATATTGAGCAGGGGTGCACAAATCAATGTTTGCAGCGTGCTGCGTGTGCTGATAGGTATGCACACATTTCAGTAGCAGGGTAGTGTTGGAGATAAATTGTAGCTACGTCAGCTGTAGCTAAAAGAAGGTGGTGGTGATATGTAACTGAAAAGTGGTTGGTAGTGCAGTGTCTTTTTATTGAGTTTTAGGGGAAGTTGCAGTTGCCTGAGCTGAAGATTTCTAGCTTGTCACTGGGAGAATATCAGCAGACTGCAGAACGTTGAGATATTAGTGTATATTTGATCTCAGCTGCTGATCCTCGTTGGAAGGTACTGAACGTTCATCAAGTTGATCCGCTTTGTGGTATGAGAAGGGCTGGTACATTATTGTGAATAGTGGCTTGAGAGGTGAGTTAGGGTACTAAGAAATCCTGGTCTATGGAGTATTTCTGTCAGATGTGGTTTTAAGTTTGAGTGGTTAAAGATAGCTTTTAAACGTATGTTGTGAACAGAGTGTATATTATTACTACAGGTTTCATCTGCCCATCATTTCTTCTCCTTGTGTTTTCCATGCAACATGTTCCATGAACTTTATTGCTTAATACCAAGAGTTGCTCAAATAGCATGCAGGCAATGGGCAGTCAAGACAGAGGAGATCCAAAAGTTATTTATGTAATAAAAAACATGTGCAAATGTTTAAAATGCCTTGCCCTGTTATGCTGAATAAATAGCTACAGCAGTGGCTTTTACTTGACATTTGTAGGTAAGTGAAGTTGTTGGTAATAGGAGATGTACCCCCACGAGGGGAAGCCTCTGGTTTAGGCAGTTGTTATACAGGGTGCATTTTGCAGCTGGTCAGTAATCCATCGTGATCAACTTTGTCGGTGTGTATGCAATAAATGAACACTTACTTGTTTAGTTGGTGTAGCAGTGGTATCCTGCACATGAGGAGCTTCTCATTGCTTGCTGCCTAAAAAAACAGGCTCATTGTTATTGCTAATCAGAGTCCTGATAACTGAAATTAATAGTGGGCACAAAGATGAGCAATTAAGAACATTCATCTTCCAAATGAGTCTACAAGATTCATTGGTAGTTTAAATTTATATACGGAGGGCACTTCAACCATTAAAAAGGGTAATGTGTGCCCTGAAGGCATGTGCTTCAAAGCCATATGTCATTTTGGTGCTGGGGTGGCAGACAGTGATAACTTCCCTTTAAGGGAAACTACTATTCATTTATCAATTAAATGCCAAAGGAAATGTACATTTTTTTTTTTGCTGTAAAGTGATCATAACACTGTATTGTAAGTTAAATCAAAGAACAAGATTTATATTCTAAACCTTTCTGGCTTTATCATGACAGATGTTAATTAGAAAAGTCTCTTGGTGATAATAGGGCATTAGAGTTGGAACTTTTAAAGGCATAAATGTTACTCTGATGCATAAATATTTCTTCTTTTGCACTTGGCACTGACAGTGATACTGATGTAGTAATCAACCTAGTGTGGAAAGTGACATGCGGGTTTGGTTTTTGTTGTTGTGTTTATGTTGTCACAGTGTAACATTTGAGAAAGTTTTGCTGAAATGGAGTTGAATTGTAAGCTCTAAGGTTTCACGATACAAGGTACTAGCAGGAATTTTTCTACAACATGGAGATTTCTTTGCCCTCCTGGTGTCCTCAAGCAACCGTACATTGGTTAACAAGTGCACAAAGGGGTGTCCTCGGTGATTTTGGAGGAAGGAGTAGCATTAGCTAAACCTTAGGCTGTTTTGTCATTTTGAATATATGACATGTTCTGAATGAATTTCAGAACTGTGGGAATTGAAACTCACTCTCAGTGAAGATGAAATATAATCTCATTTTGGAACACGATCAGGATTTGTTGATGAAATTTAGTATAATGCAAATTCCCTGAGACGATCACTTTGATTTTTGCAAACTCTGTGCCTCTCATGTGAAAGTTAAATACTCCTTTGTGATTAGGTAAAAATATTTTAACCTCAATTTGATGAAATGCATGCCCAGTTCTCCTCTCCTTGTTTTCCAGCCAGTCCTTGTTCCAGGCTGTTGGTGTGTTGTACAGAAGGCAGCAATGACTATAGCTCCTAATTGCCATCCTCCCCGTTTCCCATCTGCATCATGTTTTCTTCTGGGCTGTAGTGTGGGCTGAGAGCATTTACCAGGAGTGCAGGTGCCTCATCTTACTGTGAAACTGGTATTTACCATAACGTTTTATTGTTTGTTCTTGAGAGCTATTTGTCCCACATTTTGTTTTAAAGTCAAATGAGCTATGAAATAAGAAATACTCGTTTATTCTTAAGGTGTATCTTCTGGCTTAAGCCAGAAGAAGGAGCAAATTTTGTTGCAAGAATAGCTGTTAATGGGATTGATATAACCAACTACTGAGCACAGGGAGGAGAGGATGCATGAAATTTCTCCTCTGATTTCCAGGTGTTTATCCCTTGAGTTTTTAAATAACTCTTCCTGGATTTCAAAATATTGTCTAAATAAAGATAAATGCCCTTTTCTCTTTCACTGTTTCAATCTCTCCTGCTTTTTCTGCGCAGAAGTTGCGCGCTCAAGGGCTGCTTACTGTGAATGGGAATAACAGATGCTTCAAAGTTGCATGCCTGACAGGTGTACTTTTGTTTATACTCCACTTTTTCTTCAGCTGTGTTCTTTTGATTCCTTTGTTTCTTTTGTCTCAAATGTTGATCTCTTCCTCTTATCCTCACATTTTCTTCTCTCTTTTTCCCACTCAATTGCTCTCAGTAAAGAATGCAGTAAGAAAAAACTTACAGATTGAGGTAGAATGGATGTTATTCTGTTACATAAGTTTTGGGTTTTTTCCCTTCTCCACCTTTTGTATTCCTTTCCTCCTTTTTTCTTCCTGTCACTTGTCCTCATAACTTCCTATATGACTTCCTTCAGTCATTCCTCATAATTTTAGTTGTAGAGTTTTCATACTTTTTGTTAGTGTAACTCTGAATCACGGAATAGCTCAGTTTGGAAAAGACCTTAAAGATCATAAAGTCCAACCGTAACCTAAACATTCTACCCTAACTCTAACAACCCACTGCTAAGTCATGTCCCTGAGTACTACATCCAAATGGTTTTTAAACACATGCAGGGATGGTGACTCAACCACCTCCCTGGGGAGCCTATTCCTGGGGAGCTTAACAACCCTTTCTGTAAAGAAGTTTTTTCCTGATATCCAACCTAAACCTCCCCTGGTGCAACTTGAGGCAACCCCTCGTCCTGTCACCTATTGCCAGCGAGAAGAGACCAACCCCACTCTCAAGCACCTTTCAGATATTGGAAGAGAGCAATTAGTCTCCCCTCAGCCTCCTCTTCCCCAAACTGAACAGACCCAGTTCCTTCAGTCATTCCTCATTTGGCACATTCTCCAAGCCCTTGTCAAACCTTGTTGCCCTTCTTTGGACTTGCTCCAGCACTTCAATGTTCTTTCTGAGGTGCCCAAAACTGAACACAGTACTCAAGGTGAGGCCTCACCAATGCTGAATACAGGGGCAGGATGACTTCCCTACTCGTGCTCACCACACCATTCCTGATACAAGCCAGGATGCCATTGGTCTTCTTGGCCACCTGGGCATGCTGCTCACTCATATTCAGCTGACTGTCCATCAGTACACCAAGGTCCCTCTCCATCCACCCACTCTTCCCCAAGCCTGTAGGGTTGCCTGGGGTTGTTGTGACCAAAATGCAGGACCAGACTCTTGGCCCTATTGAGACTCCTATGGTTTATTTGGCCTATCAATCCAGGTCCCTCTGTAGTGCCCTTCTCCACTCAACACTCCCTCCCAGCTTGTGTTTTAAAGGCACTGAAAAAGTGCCTTTTAATTTGCATTCTGTTATACTAGGTTGATTTAATAAAACAATATTACCAAATACATTCTGCAGTAGTTATTTCATTTCTAGGTAAGTTTAATTGTGCTGACTGCCTTTGTTTTGAGCACAGTACTTATTTACTCGTAGTTGGTGTTTGGACTGTTTATGCTTTCAGTCCATCAAGTTTGTTGACTTGAACTGTTACTTTTCTAGCCTAATATGTTGCTTTGCTTTTGCCCTGATCTGAACAGCCTGTTGCTCTCTGTCCTGAGGACATAGCCTGTTTCACCTGGGCTCAGCCTGTGATTTCCTGTTGTGATGGGAGATGCTCTTGGGGAAAATAGTCTGCATGAATCAGAGATATCTTATAAAGAGAGGAATATTGATGGATGAGCTGCTTGCAGATTTTAGCTATGTGTAGGCAACTTTGAAAGTTGTGTTACTAAATGTGTAGGCTCCTTAGTTGTGCACCCAGGGCTAATGCCTCAGCAAAAATCTTGGAGGATCTCTACTTTTAAATAAGTATAGCATTTATAATAACAACATTTTTCTTTCCTAGGGGGATGTACCTTTGATGATGGTCCAGGGCCCTGTGACTACCATCAAGATTTGTATGATGACTTCGACTGGGTACATGTCAGTGCTCAAGAGCCTCACTATTTGCCACCTGAGATGCCTCAAGGTGAGAAATCACAATGATACATGATAGAATATTTAAAACATTGGTTTTCACTGAATGTGGTCTTAAGGCTGTGCTCTGTGATCTCCACTTTAAATTTGTTCCTGGTAGTAATAACAGAAACAGAAACAACAGATATAGCAATAAATCTTGGGAACTGAGAGGCTTTCTTAGATGTAATTCCCCTTTTAAAGTGGGAGCGTGGGGTATGTAGCGTGGGGAACATAGAAAAGGGAGAAAGGAAGTTAAAACTTTTTTGTTGTTGTTGTTCTGCATGGAATTCCAGTTGACTTGCAGTGAAATTTGTCTTAAATAACAGCTAATATATTGATTGAATAATTCAGGCATGGAATAGAACAAGTGGTGGAAAAAAAAAAAAAAAAATGCAAAAACTCATTCTGCCCCCTCCCTTCCCCCCAATCTGATCATCATCTGAAGGTAATCAGAAAAGCTTTGATTTATGGAAATATTGCTGTTGTTAATTACTATTTAGGACAGGTAATGAATAACTGAAGAGGTACAGCCTACATGACCTTGCCTGTTCACCTTTGATGAACAGCTTAATCGGTGCTTCTCTGATAGCATGATATGCTGAGAAAATGAAAGCATTTGAAATTCAGCTACATTTTCCAATTAATAGTACATTAAGTAATTAATCATGCAGAGGAGGAAAAAAGGTCATGGCTATTTTATTTGTATCTAAAAGGTTTTGTGAAGTGGGGTATGTGTGGAGGAGGAGTGGGAAATGTTGCCACACAGGCGTGACTTAACCACTTAATCATTTCTTTCTTTCTTTTAATGCATTATTTTGGATTATTAATAGATGTTAGTGTATATAATTTTGCTTTTTAACTACTAAATATCTGGATTTCCCCTACTGTGAAGTCACTGACATAATGCCTGTTACCATGACCCACATGTTACATAAAAGGTTAATGTATTAATCAAGCTCCATTCTATACTTAATGGACTGTTTGATGGTCCATGTTGGTGCAAACTTAAGCCCTGAAGCATCAGTGATGCTGACGCTGTTAGTCCTGTATCAACAAATTCAAAATATCTCCCTTAAGAAGGGAGAAACTAGTCACTTTCCAGTTTATATTTTACGGAGTTTATGCATTCTGTTAAGATGATGTGGGTATTTTAATTGCAGTGCATTTTGTAAAAAATATAAATCTGGTACTCTCAGACTTCAGGTATATACTGTATGGAAAGAACAGCAATTTGAGGAATTTTATTTTGAATGAATCTAAATGACAAGATAGCTTCTTCTTGCATCTCCCTAACACTATAGGCTGTCATCTTTAGACAGGCTTCAGAGCGAAGTGACACAGTGCTCTCTGAATCTGGCAACTGATTTCTGTTTAGTTCTGCTACAGAACCATTTCCTATGAATGTAGCATGCAGATTCTTCTGGTTTCTTTTACCATTGTATGTGAAATTGTGGCTACTTGATTTAAAAAAAAAAAACAACAACAACAAAAAACAGAACAATTGGATGTTTTGGAACTGATCAAAAACAGATGCAGAAGAGGCTCTGATTTTTATTAAAATTCAACACTTCTTGGATCACTGTTTAAAAATTTTAATGCTTTGTAGTTGAGATCCAGATTACAAGTGAGTCTAATCTGATTACGTCGTGCCGAAATTCGGTCTTCGGACTGAAGAGTTCTGCTCTGTCGCTATACTGAAGTTAATTTTTGTTTGTCTGAACAATGTGCTATTCCTATCTTCAATTTTACATTAAGTCTAAGAAGGTAGCACAGTTCTAAAATGTGTTGATTTCCTTTGTTGGGCTTGCGGAAAGTGGAGCAGCAGGAGGTTAGGAAGTTCGAGCAAAGACAGAAGGGAAATAACTGCATGTAATAATTTTCCACACAGGTGTTTCTGTTTTTTGTTTTGTTTTGTTTTTTAGCATGGCTGACCTTGCCACTTACCTGATTACTGTTGAAATTGTAGGTTAGAAAACACCACTCATTAAATAGTTGTCCAAGTAAAGAATGATATGGTAATGATGGTACAGGTAAAACTGAGCTGCTGCTGCTTTCACTTCTGCAAAATGTTTTGGTTTTTTTCAATCTTTTAGTACAACCAGGAATCTCCTAGGGACCAGAGTAAGCCCACTCTTTTCCTGTGTGATCTGAGAATGAAAAAAGAGTTTCTCTGAGCAGCGGAGAAACAGAGGTGTTCAGGTAGGGACTGTTGTCCCTACATCTCTTCTAAGTTGTGTAATTCTTCTGATGGTCACAAAGCTCCTTAATACACATACTGAAGTCCTCTTCAGTACTGTGTGGAGTCCTCGTCTCTTTGATCTCTTGGGAAACCAGTACATCTTAGCTTTGTCTTTAGCAGGAGAAATATGTATTCCTTTGTTTCATAAGGAGTGCTGTTGTAATAGAGTCAGATTCACTCAGAATCATTATAGTTGTAAAACATTATATTCAATTTTCAAATGTCAATTTTTAGTTTTCAGTAGCTTCAAAATGTCTTACTTTAACCTGTCCTTTTTGTCGCTTTTTTCTTTGCTTTGTTTCTTTTTCAGTTTTTAAATGGGAAGTGGGAGAGTTTGGGGATTTAATTTTATTCTATTTCTTTTGACTTAAGGGAAAAGTTTAATTCAGTATTTTGCTTTGGAGAAGGACAAATAGGAAATTTCAGATCTAATTGTGCATGTTTTGGAAGACTTTGAAAATGTGAAAGCATTTCATAATGGAAAGCATAGTAATCATTATTGGCAAGACTAGTGTAATTATGTCTGAGTAATTAATGCAACTTCAGATTATTATTATTATTTTTTTTGTAATGATCTACATTGCATTTCCCAAATTATCAGTGAAGGCAAAAGCCACTTGACTTCTGTTATGGGAAAAGTGCAGTATATGATAATTAATTTAGAAATAAAATAAATGTGTAGAGCAGGTGGTTGTGTACAGCTGCAAAGAACAACTTCTAAATTGTTAGAACTGCTGCTTAAATGCTAAAAACCTTTGGATTACCTGCTAAAGCCTTGGAAAACTCCTGTTGTCCATGATATAAAATGTGTGTGATATAAAAGTGACTGTGCTAGATTAAGCCAAAGATTGGCTGGTTTTAAGGGAGCCTCTTAGTAGATGCCTAAAAAAGGCTATAGAAGAAGGACAAGTGTGTGATAAGTCCTCAGCATGTTCTCTCTGTTTCCCACTGCTTTGCATTAAGGAAATTTTTCAAACAGAAACTCTCTGTTCCTAATGTTCTCAATGAGTTAATGTTTTTCCCTTCTCGCCTTTGCTTTACTCTCGGTGGGCTCCTATACAGCTTACAGTGGGCTCCTATAACAGTGCCAGTGTTTGCTACAGATTATGAGAAGAATAATCTCTTTTTAATTGTTTTACATGCTGTTTCTGTTTGATGTGTGTTAGTGTCTTATACTTAATAGGAAGTGAGCCAAGGTGATTTCTAATCTCCTTTTCCATGCCATTCCATTGTAGTTGTTTTTTTGCTCCTTAATGCTTTTACTATAATGCATATGCCCTTCTCCAACATCATTTTTCCTAAGTTGAATAACCCTAGTCCATTTAGTTGTTTCTTTTGTAGAAACAATCCACAACATGAAACTTGCATTTTGTGTAAGGTGAGATTGGTGTCTGAGTGCTGTTTTTTTGTAGATGCAGTGATGAAAATGAAGTTGAAATACCTCGCTAATTGTCTTTGAACCTCTTAGGGAGACAGACACATTCTGTATGTTGTAACGAGTCCTTTACAGCAGGCCTGTGTTTTCAGATGTATGAATTTTATACATTGTACAGGGCAAGATAGAAATTACAGAATGCTATTAAGATGAAATCCAATTTTGGATATGGATTTTTTTTCCACATGTATTAGGGGACTATTCATTAAGTGAGGATAACTTCATTTTGTAGAAGAAAACACAAATAAATGCACGTTCTTATGTCACTGGAGATTTGTGAGGGGGTGGTTTTATCTGTGTTAATAATATATTTACAGATGTTTCTACCCTTAGAGGTGATAGTTTATTTACCTTGTTTGGTTTGCCTGTTAAAAGCAGAATTACTCTGAGGCTATGCAGGATCAGGGCATGAAAGCCTGTAATGGCCTGTATGATGGGGAACCATTTAATGAAGATCTTTTTTAATGTAAGGGCTATTACCCTCCTGGATACAAATGCAGTTTGAAGAATGCCTAAATTATAGCTGACAATAGCAATGTCCTGAGATGGACATTTTGTTTCTGATCTTTCAGACAGATAGATAATGTGCCTGGATTGGATATATAGTAATTTTGTGAGTCATTCTTCTATAAATCCACAGTAAGTACATTAATAGTAGTGGGAAAGGTCCCTGGTTGCACTTGTTGTCTAGCGTGACTAAAGGAAAACAGATTACATCTCTGACGATGTGCTTCAGTATTAAATCGTTTCACAAATGAAACGTTTATTTCTTTACAGTGAATAATATCGAAGGAATTAATTCTCACTTTGCAGAAGTGACTTATGACCTTGCATGTTGCCCTGTATTAAAGAATAAAACTAAATTCTGTGTTCTTCAGAAAATAAATAAATAAAAACCCAGTCCTGAACAATAAAACATTGAATTCAGGCTTAGGCTGATATTTTGGGCTCCCTAGTGGAAGACTGCTTGGTTAACTCAGAATGGAGACCATAGGCTATGAAGGGCAATGCGAATGACAAGTGTGTTGACAAGTAATCTGAAGCCACACTTTCATGGTAATTGCTTTTGCATGGATTTTAGGCAGAATGTCTGTGGCTGCTGTGTCCATATCCCGTCATTCCCAGATGCATTCTCATGTTGCTGCATACTCCAAGTTGCTCTGACATGCATGTGGTTGTGCAGCAAATTGGGTCAGGGAACAAGTATGGATTTAAAATAATAACTTGTGGGGAAAAAAAACATTTGGCATTTGTCAGTTTATTGATCCAGCTTTATGTGTGGATGTAAAAAAAAAAAAAAAAAAAAAAAAGTTGTTCTGGTGTAGCTGATGAAGGA